AGACAAAGACAGAGACCTGGCCATTCAAGGAGTTATACCAAGACTGAACTGGTTCCTGGCTGTCAAGGTGAGGCATGACTATGGTTCTAGAATACAGCCTTGAATTCCACAACTTGTATTTTCTCAATATCCTATAAAATATGGCTTTTTAAACACCTTGCAAACACCTAGATAAGTGGTGATGAGAAAGAAAGAATTATAAATGATGCCCCTGACGGACTTAAAGTACAAAACTTTCAAACTGAGTCTATGCTGAGCAGCAGAGCATCAAAATTTCAAAGTGTGATGTGATGGATGGCCAGTTTTAATTTCCACAATGTTTTGGCTTAAAAGAAAGTAAATCAAGTACTTCTAGTCTAGAAGCCTGACCTCAACCTAGTCCATTTCTTGTTCCTGGGTAGAGCCCAGGGATGCTGCTAAATACCCTAAAATGCAGACAGTCCCCCATATCACATAAATAGTGCTGAGAATGAGAAAGCCCCACATTCTGTGCCATAGTGCTTGGCAAAGAGTAAGCCCTCTGCAAGTGTCCGTATTTATCAATAACTAAAGCAAGAGCTGGCTGGTGCTCCTACTGCAATTTTATAAACTAAGAACTCAAGAGCTACTTGTGTCACCTTTGCTGAATTAATATACCACAGAAATAAGTGGAACCTGAAATTCTGTAGTTCCACATCATTAATTCAGGAAGTGATTAAAAAATTAATTCTGAGACTGTATTTTCTTGAAACAAAAAACAAAAGTAAACTCTGGCACAATATTTCAAAAGCATATTTCCTGGAAATTATGGGATATAAAACCTTGTGATTGGGGCCTCACTGTGGCACAAGGGGTTAAGCACCACATTATGAAGCAATCTGCAGCCTCTGCAGCACCAGTTCGATCCCCGGTCGGCCAGGGAGTAACCCACATGGCACAGCAGACCTCTCCTGACTCGCCCTCTGCTCCCCTCAGCGGTGTCTTTCAGTCAGTCTGCCTGCTCTGTTCCCCACTCTGTCTCCGGTGAATCCTCTCATCACCCTCCCCGCCACCCATATCTCTGGCTCATACCCCAGCTCTTGTATGCATAAATAAATAAATCTTAAAAAAGAAAACCAAACCAAAACAAAAACCCTTGTGATTACTGCAATTTGCACAATAGTAAGACCGAACCCTCCAAACTTCAAGTTTAATATAACAGAGGACACCAGTCCCAAGACATATTTTTGAAAACTGACAAATGAAGTACAACGGTGTTAAATTAAAATGCCTGTCAAAACCAATGCTACCTAAAACCTGTCCCAGAAGTTCCTTCAGGCTTAAATAAGTCAGTGTCAGGAATTCCTGGTGAGAGATCCTGCTTGGATATTGAGTCACTGTAAGAGAAATTATTCAGATCCAAGTCAACTTACAAGCAAAGTAAGTGGAATAATCATGAAAGGCCTGAGCTATGCTGATACACTCTTGAGAGGTTGCCAGGAGCTCTGATGCAGGATGTCTGAATCAATGATGACCTCGATAAGGCCCTGCTATTGGGAACCACCAGGAATAACCAGGCCTTTGAACCCAGCATTCACGGTCCCCAGCTGGTCTACCCAGGTTTCAGTTTTCCCATCATTAAAATTAAAAAGCAAAATCATTGTTACTTCTTCTGATACCACAGATAGAGAATACCGATTTTTATCTGTGATAATGTGCCTTCAATATCTACAACCCCAAGATTTGAGTTTCTCTCACAGGATTCTTCAGTAACTGCAGAAGTCAGACCTCTTTATCTCAAACAGGAAAAGAGATTCTGTTGATTCAAAGCCATAAAAAGCATAACTGTGTTTCTCTCAAAGATGAGGCAACAAAAGATTTCTACAACCTACAAACAGCTGTGTAAATATAAGACAAATTGTTAAGTCTCTTTGAAGCTCAAGCCAACATCTATTTGAACAATCAGTTATAAAATAGTGTATTATCAAAATAGCAAAATTGGTAAATTATGTCACAGGGAAAGACTCCCACAAGAGTTGTGAAATAAGACTTTCACTAAGAGACAATGGAGATGTCTCATGGAGAAAGCACCTTGGATGCAAAAGAACAGACAGAACTTTGGCTGGATTTGTCCCTCTCAAAGTCACTTGAGGCTGCAGGCAGTGCACATTTAAAGGCAGTTAGTTACAAAGGTAAGAGTCCAGTTGGGTCACTGGGTTCCTGATGGAAGGACAGCACAATGAGACCAAATCACCACAGCTGGATCTTTGGAACATGGACACTGGTCCCGTGAAAAATCTTAAAGGACAGAGATATTCAGTCAAAACCCAGTGGATGGTTTAAAGCGCAAAAAGTTCTCTTTTGCCTAACTTCAAGTATCTTCCAAAATTTAAGGAAGGTGCTCTTTCCATTAACATTCGAATTTGACCAGTAAAAAAGACAATTTCTGTTAAATTGCAGAAGAGTTCAAAAACCATCAAAAAGTAAATTAAGTTATTTGTTAGTCTGTGATTATCCATATAACAAATCCCAATCATAACCATTAAGATAAGAAACCTTAGAAATAATAGGTATTTTCAAATTGCAGAAACAAAGTAACCCGTAAACTGATTTTTACTTTTTAAAAATAATAATAATATATTACTAAGAAAAAGATGTCCATGATATGACCCAAGGAATTCCTCAATTATAGGCAGAAACTCTACTTGCTAATAGAAACTGTTAGCCAACAAACAGTAGGCAATATTCCCTCACTTCCAAGCATAAGATTAACAAATTTTAAGATCTCTTCCAAACACTTGTGAAACTAAAACTTAAACGTTAAAGTCATTTTAAAACCACAGCTTTTTTTCTATTAATGAAAATCAAAGATTCATCCAGAAAGTTTACACCTGCTCACTACTCATATAAGGTAAGAAAAATACAGCAAAAGATTGTTGCAGCCGAAAAGGCAGCTCTACTTGATCTTTTAAATTAAAAAATAAAAGTTACCTTTTTCATTTTATGGACAGCAAATTTGAAGTGATGAACTATTATATTATTGTATACAAAAACCACTTGTTATGGAATCTTTCATGAAGGAAGTATAGCAGAATACACTAGACTGAATTAAACACTAGATTGAGAATCTGGTGCTACTTATGTTTTGAAAATCAGTGAACAGCTATGGCCCTCCACAGTCCACCCTGAAACTGAGAGTACTGACTAAATTATGATCTTTAAATGTCATTATATATATATATAATATTTTATATATATATATAATTTCAAATAATAAGATATGTAGTTTCCAGTATATGCTCAAGAAAGTTGTGAGGTAGCAAGGATTAAGCTTCACAGGCAGGGTGGACAGACGGAATGTTCAAATCCAGGTTCTATTAGAACAAGATACGTGGGTGCAAGTTTCCTTTTCATTCAAGAGGGGGTAATATTTAGCTTCACAATATGTTCAAAGGATTAGAGTACTTTCAACCTAGTACACTGTAGGCAATAAATAAAGGCAGAAATTAAGTCTCTTGTCAGTAACAAAAAACTAATGGAGAAGTGCAGGGACTGCTTGCCAGTTCTTTCCAAGCACATAGCGAAGATTCATAGTTGGGAGTAACAGGGATAAAAGTAGGTAAAAGCAAATCAGCCGAGTTTTTCAATCCTCCACAAAGTAACAATGAAAAGGAATGAAATAGCATGGAACACAGTACTTGAGGGAAGACATTTTTTCACTAACAAAGAGGACTACTGGTTAAAAAACAACATATAATGAATTACTGCAATGATTTCATAACTAAGATAAACAGAGAGCTGGTTAGAGTCTATGAGTGTCAGTAAAGAAAACAAAGAGGAATTTGCAAAACACAAATCCTATTTCCTTTGCTTGCTTACACATCTTACAGGAGGTTAAGTGATCTGGTTGCTGCCCACCTGTTCAAAATATAAGGTCACCATCTTTCTGTGAACATAAGAAAAAGCCCCCAGAGGCAGGTTTCATTTCATCTTTTCATGCAGATTTATGCAATAATGTAGTGTTAAGAGGTCAATGTCCGGCACAGCAATGTTTTATGAGAATGTAATATGTGTGCATGTTTTGAACAGTACACATTTTGACTATGCATATGAATTATTAAAATTCTTAAAAAAACCCCACAAAACAATGGTATAAGTTGTTTCCTTTTGTGGGATCCTGCTTTCAGGAAGAGAGAGTGTGTGAGTAAATGGCCCATTATCTTCCCAACAAAGAATTATGAAATATATAAACTAAACTAATTTCAGTATTGGATAGGTTAGACCTGTTACTTTATTACCTAGCTAACATTATGCAAACTATTATTGAGTCAAGTGATAAATTCAGTGATTCCCTCTGTGAAATAGAAGACAAATTACATGAACTGCCAAATTAAAGGAATATTAAGAAGAGATCCACAATGTTAACCCACATTTAAACTAAAAGAAAAGAAAAATCCTTTCTAATTCAAAATCAAAAGTAAACATACTCTTGCAGATTTCAAAATATGATTAGATACCAGATTGGGAAAAGAGTGAACCGACACCATAGCTGGAAAATTTATGACTTGTGCTTTCATTTTTGAATTTTGTTTTGCTTTGAAAAAGGCTTTTCTTGGTAGATAAAAGAGGCCAGTAACCGACCGTGTCTGGATAACCCATCACCACGGCAGTCACCATTCTCAGTCACTCGGGAGGGCTCAAGGCGCCAGCTCGCGACTGGATGCCAAGGATGACTCGTGGTACGCAGGGTTAAGCAAAAAGACCTCACCACCTGCATCTTCCCCAGATTCCAGTCCCCGAACCCCAGTCCAATTCCTGGATGAAATGGACACAGCATTCTGCAACTTCACTTTCGTGTCCTTTTTAAACACAACCTAGCTAGCCCCTCCTCCTCCCCAAGGACCGTGCAGGGCTCAGCAAACAGAATCCGCGGAGGCCTGCGCTCTAGACTCCCTGCTTCTGGGAGCCCCAGGCAAGTCATCTGACCCCCGGTGACTCAGTCTTCCAATCTGTCAAATAAGGTGACGAAAAACCCAGCCTACCTCATCGGGTGGTTCCAGTGCAGCCGCCCCAGGCTGGCCCGGGGACAGCGGCTCCGCGTCGCGCCCGCGAGGCCCTGGCGGGCGGAGGGGCGGGGCGCGGCGGGGCGGGACAGGGTACCGAGGCGGCTCGGCGACGCTGCCCACCGCCCCAGCCCGCCGCCCCCGACCTGGCCGGCGCACACCCCACTGCGTCAGCACGCTGACGTCGCCGCGGAGCGGCCGCCTCTCGGCCGCGGGACCGGACGCAGCCTGGGTTGTGATTGCTCCAGTATCAGAGGCGGCTAATGGTGAGTGAATTTGTCAGTCATCCCCTGCCCAGTGAGCGACACGGGGAGGCGGGCGAGGGCGGGCTGGCGTGGCCCGGGGAAAGAGTGGGAATCTGAAACTCCGGTTTGGAGAGGTCAGAGCTGGTTGGGCGGGACCGAGACGGTCCTACCCCGTTTTATAAAGCCACCGTGCCTCGCTCTTCGGCAATTCTGCTTCCTCCGCCTTCCTCCAGTTTGCCCATGGGGATTTAGGGTCCGGATTTCACGACCCCAAAGCCCCTCGCACTGAACTCTCCGGGAATGAAAATGTAGGCCATTCCATTTCTCTGCTTCAAGTGTCACCCCCACATTTAGTTTTCCTCAAGTGTCGAGACCTATGTAGGAGACTATCTCTGCTGCTAGGACGTGACACCATAGTCTTAGTAGTAATCACATTTATAAGACTTATTTGTTTCTAGCGAGATTGGGCATCTTTTACTATTGTTTTAATTCTAAGTGTCATTTTCCTCTAATTAAGGTCTTTACCATTGGGGAAAGAAATGCAACGATTACAAGTGTATGATTAGGTAACAAAGTGAAAGGACTTGTTAACCACCCTCTAGACCAAGATTTTAAAGGCTTATTAGCAACATAGAAGCTCTCCTCATACTTTTCTTAGTCATTGCATCCCTACCTACATAAATGGGAAAGGATATTCTCTTCAATAAATTGTTTTGGAAGAACTCTGTATTCACATGCAAAAGAATGAATCTAGATCTCTATCTTATAACACGAAAGTCAACTCAAAAGGGTTTGAAGACTTAAATGTAAGCTGAAAAATTAAACTAGAAGAAAATAGAGGAAAGGCCTATGGGATGCTCTTGGCAATGATTTCACAGATATAACTATAAAAGCAAAAATAAACATGTTGATCTACATCAAATTAAAAGGCTTCTTTACAGTATCAGAAACATTCTATAGAGTGGCAAGGCAACCCATGACTGGGAAAAAAACACTGCAAACCACATATTTGAAAAGGTATTAATCCCCCCCCCCAAAAAAAAAAAATCATTTGAAGAACTCATACAACTCAAGAGCAAAAATCTCAAATAACCCAATTAAAAATTTACTTGAATAGCTATTTATCCAAAGAAGATACATAGGTAGCCAATATGTATATGAAAAGGTACTTGACATTACTAATTGTCAGAGAAATGCAATTCAAAACCACTGTGAGATATCACCTTAAGACAGTTACTATGGTTGTTAACAAAAAATAGCAAGTGTTGGTGAGGCTGTGACTAAAGGTAGCAGGGTGGTTGTGGGGATATGGAGGAGAGGGACAAGGGGACACAAAGGATGATGGTGGGGGAAACAATAAAGATCATCTTAAGGAGGATTGACATCTTAGCAATGAGTCTTATGATCCATGAATGTTGTCTTTCATTTTCCTTTTTAAAAGGAAATATAGTTGACTTTTGTTGTTATGAACCTTACCAAACTCACTAATTCTAGCAGTTTTTTTCATATTCCATAGGCTTTTATTCATAGATGATCATAAAAAAGAAATGGAAAAGCACAATAAATGCCAAAAGGTTTTATTTTAAAATTGTTAATTTGATGTTGTATGAATTTTGTTTCAATTCAAAATAACTATTCCATGCCCTACCCATCTCCAAAAGAAAAATGTTCAAATGAGGTTTCTCCTCCCCAAAGGCCCATAGATTTGAGGTAGTGAGGAGACCTATAGCTACATTAAATATGAAAAATTATCTAAATTATATCAAATGTATGCAATCATCTACTTAAGCTATATAAATATAAAACCAGAAATTAATGCTGAAAATTCTACCACTATATGCCCAATTCATCTGCCACTCTTCCTTTTACTTTTCATTTGGATTAGTTATGCCTTTTATCTGCCCTGGATCAGGTGCCTAGAAATATTTGTTGAATTACAATGCAATGTATATATCATTTTTCAGTACTCGTGCAAATAAATGCTCCCATCTAATCCATCCTGTCTACTGTCACTGATAGTCCATAGAAGTCATGAGGAAAGTTTAAAAGTATCCAATAGTAAATAATAGAAATCAGTAATATATATCATAGTGGGATGGAGAAGAGAATTGACAAATGACCTTATTTAGGAAGTAAAGGAGTAGTGTGATTGGTTGGAGAATTTTGCCATTAGCTTAAATTAGGAATTCAGGAGGAAGGCCAGGTTGGACAGGGGCTGAGTTCTAAACTCATTTTGAACACTTTGTGTTTGAAATATGTGTGATTCATTTGGAAGTGTATCTAGTATGCATATAGCTTATAAACTTGAGAATTCAGGGAGATGCTTCTGGATAATGTCACTCAGGAAGAGTATCCAGACTGAGAAATGAAGAGAACCTAGAGCAGAATCCTGGGTTCATTTAAAGAGCAGGTCAGCAACATCAAAAGGAAACATAGACACAATAAACTCAGCAATTAGAGAGGCATGAGGAGAGTCACGTGTAACTAGAGATAGTAGTATTTTGAAGATCAAATGATAAATGTTTTAAGTCAGAAAGAGCAAAAATTAAGAGAACATGGACTAGAAATCTTAACAGAGTAAGGATTAATTATGACTGGAAATTTAAGGATATAAGTGATATGAAACTGTAAGAAAATAAGTGGAAGATGGAGATAGCACTATAAGAAAAGAAATGGAGGCAACAAAGTGTGAGTAATTTTAGTATGCCTTGATTGAATGGAACATGAAACTAAAGGTACCTGAATTACCTAAGTTAATAAATCGCTTTAGATGCTGAGAGAGCCTTTGGTTGGTAATATGATAAAAAATGGGATTAATACATTTTGTTCTAATGTTTTAAACTGTTAGGAATTTAAAGTCTTAGGAATTTGTTTCAAAGGGACAAAACTTTCAGTAATTTACTAATCACAAAAATAACTAGTACACATTAGTACATATTATAATCTAATTTCCATAAAATGATACTAAACTACTATATAAATAAAAAAATTAAAACCAGGGTTTGAGGATTTACTATTTTTTTTAATTGAGGTAATATTATTTTACAGCACTGCATGCCCACCACAAAGGTGTAGTTTCCATCCATTACCATCCAATCAAGCCCTTCTAACTGTTTCAACCCACTCCCTTCTCCTGTGGTTGTATTATCAGAGTCTATGGGTTTGATTTTGTTTTTGTTTGCTCCTTTGCATTGTGTCTTTATATTTAACATAAGAGTGGAATCATGCGGTGTTTGTTTTTCTCCTTTTGACCTATTTCACTTAGCGTAATCCCCTTATGGTCCATTCATGTTGCAAATGGCAAGATTTCATCTTTTTTTTTTAATAGCTGAGTACTTTTCATTATGTAGCTATACCTCATCTTTATCCAGTTATCAATTCATGAGCATTTAGGTTGTTTCCATACCTTAGCTATTGTGAGTAGTGTATAATGAATTTAAGAGTGCATATATTTTATAGAATTAGTGCTATCATTTTCTTCAAATAAACACCCAAAAGTGGAGTTGCTGGATCATATGGTTGCTCTATCATTAGTTTTTGAGGAACCTTCATGATGTTTCCCTTAGTGGCTGCGCTAATTTAGGTTCTAACCATCCCTTATTGTTTCTTGTCTTTTTGATAATAGCCATTCTAAAGAATGTGAGGTGGACTCTCACTGTGGATTTTGACAAGCACTTCGCTAATGAAAAATGATATAGAACATTTTCTTGTATTTGGTGGCCATTTGTACATCTTCTTTGGTGAAATGCCTATTTAGATCCTCTGCCCATTGTTTAATGGGGTTATTTTGTTGTCGATGTTGAGTTGTATGAGCTGCTTTATGTTTTGGATATTAACCCCTTATCTGATACATGGTTTACAAATATCTTCTCCCTAGAGGCTACCTCTTTGTTTTAATGATGGTTGTTTGTTTTTTGTTGTTGTTGTTGTTTGTTTGTTTTTAGCTGTGCAGAAGCTTTTAGTTTGATGTGGTCCCATTTGTTTTTATTTATTTTTTTTTTTTGTGGCCCTTGCTGTTGGAGATGAATCCACAAAGACATCACTGCAATTGATGTCAGAATTAATCATCTATGCTTTCTCCTGTATATTTTAAGATTTGGGGACTTATATTCAATTCTTTAATCCATTTTGAATTAATTTTTGTGTATGGTATAAGATAGTGGTCTAGTTTCATTCTTTTGTGGGTGGATATCTAGTTTTCCCAGCACCATTTATTGAAGAGACTTCTTTCTCCATTGTAGACTGTTTGGTCATTTATCACAAATTTCTTATATATACGTGTGAATGGTTTCAATTTTAAAACTGGAAAACACAAGGGTCTCCCCAGTGGCGCAGCAGTTTAGCGCTGGGCTGCAAAGCTGACTGCAGCCTCTACAGCTCTGGTTTGATCCCTGGCCACCGGTGAGGGTCCCACATGGTGCGCAGACTTCTCCTGTCGCCCGCTGCTCCCCTCAGCAGTGTATTTCGTCAGTCTGCCTATTTTCTTACCCACTCTGGCTCAGGTGAATTCTCTTACCCTCCCGCACTTCTGACTGTACCCAGTGCTTGTATAAATAAATAAATCTTTATTAAAAAAAATCTATTAAAAAAATGGAAAACACAAGTCTTGGAGAAGAATACAATAGCAGATGGCTACTGGAAAAGGCAGTATCTATAGAGTCCAAAGTCACTTGGGTTTTGAGGTAATTAAAACATATGGGGCTGATCCAAGGTAGACTTTGCATGTTAATTTACTCTTGAAAAAATATAAATTCCTATCAAATTTATTGAAAAGACAACTTCAACTATGGCTTTTTAGAGATTAGAAGTTGAAAAGACAAAGTTAAGCTTGATATATAAGCTTAGAGCTAATGTTAGAAATTCATAGAATTTTGCCAACCCAAACCATCAGTGAATTTGGTCATTCTCATCCTGTTCTCTCCTAATTTGAGGGATTTGGTTGCATGCTGGTGAAGCTGTTTAGCTCACCGTGGTCTCTCATGTAATACAGTACCACAACCCCAATCCTCTTCTGCTCCCAA